CTGCGCGTTCACATGCTTTGTTACCAGCTCACTGCGCGTTCACATGCTTTGTTACCAGCTCACTGCGCGTTCACATGCTTTGTTACCAGCTCACTGCGCGTTCACATGCTCTGTTAAACGGCTGCCGCCCCCTTCCAAAGTATCTGCCTGTCATTCCTGTGTTTTTAGGCCCTTCGTTTAAATGCAAGTTTAAATAACTGTTCTCTGGTTAATTCTGCATCACATCTCCATGCCTTTAACCTTTTTCTACTTCACTTGGCATCCGTGCCTTGGGCAGGAGAGCATCACATGGGCAGGACCCCGCAAGGCTATCAGGGTATATCCATGCATGCATTGCAAACATGCGCGCGAACACACAAGCACACATGGGCGTGGGACTGCGCTAAACACCCGACACACTGACGGCTGAACTGCGTTTGGGTCAGCGTCAGGGCGAGTGCACAACACCGGTGACCGTGGAAACTGTGTGCGGATGCTGGTGACCTCATAGTGACCAAAAGCTATTCACCTCACTCACCAGGTCCAGCTCCTCGTCAGTCTGCGGCAACGGAATAGAAAAAGGGGTTGGGAGGGGAGGGGGGTTTACACCTCAAATCATTCACAGTCTCAGCAAAGGAGCCATAAAACAACATTTTAGCCAATAATCACTGCTGAGCTGCTTACTGAGCCTTAAATTACGCATTTAATGTGTCATAATTATCATTGCCATTGCGGATGAAGGCCCAAATAGCAAAGGGCAACATGGGTTTAAAGATACTAATCTGTCACATTAATTAATCAAGGCTGGTAGTGTCACTTTACAAAATAATATTATACAGTTACGGTAATTTAACAGAAAAAAAAAAAAAACTGTCAAAAAAATAATCATTGAATGAAAATTATTTGTTAAAAAAACAGGATCTGAACCAAGACATCAATAAATGTCTTTGTTAAAAGAATGTTTTTCCCTTTTAAATAGCACTCAAAACGTAGCTTTGAGGGAAAACATGGAAGCAAATCTTGCCCAATGGAAGCGCCCAAGAGCCACTTTAAATGATAACTGGTGCCCATTCAGGCCGGGTCCATCTAAATGAAGCGATTCTGCTCACCAGCTGCATCAGACTCTTGCCACTCTGGGACGTGATGACCCGGAGGTCCGGTTTACGGCTGTTCACCATCTGAGGGCTCGATGGGGGCGGAGACTTGGCCGGAACTACTTTCCCCAGGCTGTTGCCGTTGGAGACAGACAGGAGGCCTGGAGAAGCCCTGGCGCTGATGTACCCGTTTGCTGTGTGAGGAGAGGAAAAAAGAAAACAATTTATAAATTACAGAGGCAGGTAAATTCATATAATCTGCCTCTATTAAAACTCAGCGCATTATTACCCAGAGGAGCTGAGCACATAATTAGAACTGCCCACTGAATGGAACCAACAACCTTTGTTCGTCTCCGATGTGTTTCTCTCTACATTATGTGCTGCATGCCCACAGGAATACAACACTAGAGCACATATAGAGTATTATTAGAAGGGGATTCAAAGTTGGAAAAACTCCCTAATCTCACCAAAACCTTCCCTAAGAATTAACCCGAGACATGTGACTTCGACCACCAGTAGGGGAGCCAGAGAGACACTGTACACTCTCTGTGTGTCGGTGCAGGCAGTACTGTGAAGCATACTGCAGCCAGAAAACTAGTCTTAGTTCCACTAAAACTCCATCTTGACTCAGATGTCCTGCGGGTGCGGGTGCGGGGGGGGGGTTTGCACGTATGGAGAATGGCTGAACAAGAGGGAAACACGACAGAAAAGTACTCAGCGTAAACAGCATTACACCGTGCGACTGCAGAGGGTAGCAGTCTGATTGACAGCCACACCTGAAATGCTCAGCTGTCACCGCGAGATAGACAAGCAGAAGGGACTCTGCAGCAGAACAGACGCTTTGTCTTAAAGTTCAGGTCGGGGAACAGGGTGCAGGAGTTCAGCATGCTCCTGCAGGGAGGGACACGGCTTGCTGCGTCAATCACAAATGGCTTTTGACACGGTGTGCCTGTTCCGTTTCTTCTGCATCTTTAAACTGACACTGCAAACAGCCCTGCGCTGTGAGCTGTGCAGCCTTCTTCTTGGGGAAAATGGAACAGTGGCTACAGATTTCACAAGAGCCCCAGCGTGAATCTTCACCCATAACCCACATCCAGGCCCATGAACAGAAAGGGGGAGGGAAGACTGCCAGCCCCCCAGCGCTGGTTTCCATCTGCCCCCAAGGGCCTGGGTCCCAGTGCGTCCAAGTCCACGGTCTGATCCCTCCACCCTCGTCTCCCATTTCCTGTTGGCCAGGGCGTGGGAATGCCAGGAATGCTGGGAGTGACGTCAGCAATGACATTCCCAGAGTTTGGGCCAGTGCAACAGCTGAGAGCTCAGCAGGGAGGGGAGGGGGGCTGGGGGGGTAGGAGGAGTCTCTGGTGGGAGGAAGGGGAGATTATTCTGGAGTCCGGTTGCTGTGCTGTAAGCGAATCAAAAAAAAAAACGAGAACGATCGCGTCGACAATGCAAAGCTCCACCACAATCTTCCTCTGCTTTGAACCCTATATGGTAATTTACTGCACTTTACTTTGGCATCAGATCCTTGTTTGCGTTAAAAAGAAGTTGGGAATTGCGAGTGTTCTGCAGAGGCAGTGCTGAGAAGCCTGTAGTCTGCTTTAGTGTGGGCAACCAACCAGATGTGGCTGCAGAACAAAAATAACAGAAGGAACACAGCTCATGTGGCACAGTGTCATCGACTTTATGGCGAGAGTCACACATTGTTCCTCGTGAACAAAACTCAACACGGGAGCCCGAAATATGACACTTGCGCTGGCTGTCGGTGACACCTCTGAGGAGGGGCCGGTGACAGTGTGCGCACCCTCCCACCCACCCGGTTGCTCCCCGCTGAGATCTGGGGGAACAGCTGAGGGCAGCAGGGGCGGGGGGGGGTGGTGTTGTCAGTACAGACCATTCATGTCTCTCTCTCACTGGTTGGACACAGACACACCTGTTTGAGCTTGGCAGCTGAGGGTCACATGGTAACAGACCAGGAAGCAACGCGGGACGCCACTGTCCTGGATATCTGGGAGAACGTTGCAATGCGAGAGGACTCAACGAGGCACGGGGGTGTGGATGGGCCGCCACCGTCTGTTTGTGTACACATCCGAGGTCCTCGCCTAAGACGGCTAATGGCTAAAGACGTCTTTTGTTTTGGTCTCCCTAAAGGAAACATTCCGCGGCACAGAAATGGGTGGGGCTGCTCCGCCACATATTTTGAGAATCACGCCCGGCGAGATCCTTCACGCGAGGGCCCCTGCTCCCCGCCCGGAGGCAGCGGAGGTCCTGTGAGTCACTAACACTGACCCAGGTTTGCGGCTAACACCGGAGCCCGTGGCTTATGCGGTCTGGCATTCACCCGTCTGTGGCTCAGGCTCCGTGCATCTCTTTTATCTAACCTATCTTCAACGTTCCACTCAAAAGGCAGAATGGGGGGGGTCAGATCTTAATGCCACATCCTTATTTGCATCAATATTTGAGGAGAATCACTCCGAACTGTAGAATCTTCTAGAAATTAAACTGGATACAATGGGGCAGAGGAATTAAATCAAACCATTATTCACTCATTCTTACTATTTATGCTGCTCCCTCCATTGCCTGTTCTAAACATTCCAGCATTGTTTACATTTAACATTGTGCGTTTATGATGTCACACTTTTTTTTTTTTTTTTGCATTTGTCCTGTCTATCTCTGCACTAACACTGAAGCAGGGGAATATATTATTCTGCTCCACCGTATGCTGCGTACTCAATACGACTGGCGTGACAATAAAGCCCGACTAAGATGAGAGCCAGTTCGCCTACGGCGATGTCCAGCTATTCAGGTGACGATGAGGACCATGAGGGGAAAAGTCATTGTGCTCCCCACCCTAAATGCTCCCTTATTATGGCAAATCACCCCCCCGTCACTCACCTACTGGGCTAGGGCAGGCCCCATTCGAGTTACTCAGGTCCCCTCCTAGAAGTGCGCCTGTGTGGAGGAAACAGGAGGTTCACATTCCAACATTATCACATACTGCTTAGTGCAGCCGGCATGGTCACTGTCACTGACACGGTCACTGACAGAGAGTGAGGGCCACTTAGCAAATCACACAACAGGGCTATCAGACTATTCCAGTTCATTTTTATGGACCATTTTATTTACTAATACCCATAATTGTCTTCTCTGCACTGCTTAATATTTTGGGTCATATTATTTCACTGCATTTACTTGTCAACCGATTGTAAACAATCTTTGCCCACAAAAATGGATGCTTCCCATTTGGTGAGCTTTCTCACCTGCACTGGCTGGTCTCTGTGGTAACCCTGGAGACACTGTATTCCTCTGGAGAGCTGGTTGCTGTGGCGACAGTAGGCGGGGATCCGAGAGCGATGAAGTCACGAAGGAGGTGGTTACCAAGGTCGCACCAGGGTTGCTGAACTGTAGGGTGCTCTGATTGGACACTGGGACAGTGACAGGCATGGAGAATGCAGGAGGGGCCGCCGAGGACTAGAACAGAGAAGAACGGGAAAGGGGAGCAGATACAAGCTGGATGATAGGTATTCAATCACTGGCCATCCAGTTCAGTATTTACTCGAAATTCTCTGATCACGTGCGACTTTGAACATAAGAATTCAATATTTTAACTGTGCATCGTATCATATTCAGTCGTTTCAGGTGAAATATTTGGAAAACGCAAAGTGAGAAGGAAAATGTAAGCCACAAAATCATTTCAATCTGTTCTGAATAAAACAACAAATGTGTATATAAAATCCTAGTATAAATGGATAATGTTTCCCCAGTTAATGGCTACACACTGTACAGTTATACTATGGTGCTTGCACTACAGTGAATCAAAATTATCACAGAGCTACTGAATTCACAGTAATCTAAGCAAGTCACAGGCAAGAATGAAAAATAATAGAGGCATATAGGTATAAATAATTAATTTTTATGTTGGTTATTATGGCCACATTCCTCACAACCAAAAAAGGAAGAGGATTCGCTATATGCTTTCTTAGTCAGTTTGCCTGGCATATGTTCGGCCGTTTACAGAATTTTTCTAAGTATAGATCTCTGGAGATGCTCCCAGCAACGTAGGCAATCCAGAAACAGCCAGTCTCCAGAAATAACAGGAAACCACTCATCTTTACGCAGCAAATGGCTCCATCCCTAATGTGTAACTGTCACACTGCCATTACGTGGCGCGCACACAACCATACTCTTATATCAGCTTGACACTTGCAAAATGAGTTTTCTAAGAAGTCGTTGAATAATATTACTACACTGTGGTTCCGGCTTAAAAAAAAAAATTTGTTGTGGGGTTTTATTTGGGTGTCAGAATTAGAATTTCTGGGGAGAAAAAAATAGGTTATAAGCGATGCAAGCTGCAGGGCAAACAGCGGGGAACCTAGCGCTGGATAAATGAGACCCGCTTTGGAATTTCACACTTGGGGAGAAATCAGAGATGAAATGTATTAATTGTGACTATTGAAATGAAGGCGAGGAAGTGGATGTTTGCCGAGTGAAGCCAGCCTGAACAGGGCTGTGCTTGCTTGCAGTGCCTGAGTCACTGATGCTGTACTTTGGTTACGCGCCTGTCCCCTGTGGTGCAGGGCTCTGTACCGAACACGCTGCACCAAATGCTCCCTTATTATGGCAAACCGTCCCCCCCCCTCACTCCTCCAAGGACCCTATATTTAGAATGTGGGACAGACTGGGGCTCGCATGTCCGGAACAGGACCCAGTTTGAGGGGGACTGGTTTCGTAGCTGCCTGTACCCCTCACAGATTTCCTCTGATTGCCTCGCTGAAGGACGCCTTTAGTGGAGCGCTGGACCAGGCTGCTGGAGGCAAACTGCCCAGTCGCACATCCTTCATACGGAAGTCTGCGCGGCCAATGGAATATTCTGGAAGGTTCTTTCAATGGGACGCGTCACCCGGCTTTAGGCGATGAGAAAATGGAATCCTAGTTAATACACATTTTTCCAACTAAAGTAGATTTGATGGTGTTACAGGAAAAACCTTTGCGGAGGCTGTCTAAGATTTACAGTGCTTCCAAGCTGGGCTACTGTTTATGCTAAGAGCTTCAGCAGCACTCCTGCATCTACTTTAGGTGATGCATAAATTTGAAACTTATTCCACAAGCAATTCTCTGTTTGCACATTTGAATATCAAAGCAGCAGTAAGCTTGAGAAGGGAGAGGTGTACACAATTTGGAGATTACTCATTTTAAAGTGAAATTTATCTACCAATTTTGTTTGTTTGTTTGTTTATTACAAATGCTAGCACACAGCAATTTGTCCATACAGCTTTTTCCTCAACCAGTACACAAATGCAGAAGGCAAACACATAAGCTAATTAATAATTTAAGAATCTAACAGAAAAAAAAACAGAATGAACAAAAACAAAAAACAGAAGGAACCTAAGAGATAAAAATTGATTGAATTCCCTGCAGACACATAAATATGTGTGCTAATGAAATGTTGTTGACTCACTTCTGCACTGGACCTTCCATGTAAACCCCCAAGAGAGTCTTAAACTATCATGATGACTCCAGATGGACCTGGGAATCAGACCAGAGCGTGACACCCTAAGAAGCTTTCCTGACCCATCCCGAGGTTCGGCATTTTTCTGTGCCCTGTCAGCAAAGATGTACATAGAGTTGTTCTGCCAAAACAAACTTAAAACGAGATGCAACAGGTTCACCCTGGACTCAGTGGACTAAGCTCCTGTGCTTGTGACCGGAAGGTTTTCGGTTCCAGCCCAGCCTCAGCAGAATAGTCACGTCTGTGGCTCTTTGAGTAAGGCCCTTAACCCCCAGCTCCCTGGGCACAAGATGGCCACCTGTTTTACTGTGACCCCCCCCAAGCTCACTCCCACCTGTATAGGGCAAAACAAAAGGGGAATTTCCCAACTGTGATTGATATTGTATCTCTATTCTACGAATGACATGCTACATTTTCAATAGACAATTTTGGTTGCAGGCTTTGGTCTCCACAAATCTACTATAACCATGCAAATCTTTTGGTTTTGCTGAATTAATTTAGAATTAAGGATTTTTTTTCTCATTAAATGCAAGTTTGACACATATCTGCATGCTAAATGGACTAACCATCTCACAATCTCACAAGGCCTTACAAAGGCTGACACCTGCCTGCCGGAGTCTATTACAGCCCCCCAAACCTGAGACGCAAGGTCTAATGACAAACCATCACTACTGCTATTTATCCCAACAAAAGCCATTAAAGAAAATGATAAAGGTAAAATTAAACTATGTGCATATTAACTGAACCCAATGGCAGAGAGACCCCCTTAGCATTGTTATTCCCAGACACCCCCATTTGTGGTTAATCACTCGTCTTAATTGGCTAAGCTTTCCCTTATGCCTAGACGACATGAGCAACACTGATGAAGTGGAGCTTTGGTCTCAATCTGAAGGATCTCAGCCTCCGCTCTCCCTTTGTCACAGATTCTCAATACCCTCTAGGCCACTTATTAAGGGTCTGCTTCAACAAAATCGCCATGTCTGGCCTCAACTCAGCGGCCGCAACCGCACTTTCCAGCTCTTTCACTTCCTGGCAAGTTGTTTTCTTGCTGTAAAACTGAGATAGACCTGGTTTTAAAAAATTCCTCTGCAGAAGTTAACGACAAACCAACCCATGCAGATACAACCTGCCATCAGCAGAAGGGCCCCTAAAGGCCTCAGCAGGGCTGTAATACATGAATCTGTGGCGTGTCACTTCCTGTCAGGATACGAGTGGGTGGCCAAGATCACAGACAAGGACTACAGCACCACACACCAGCCAAGCACACGGAGGTTAGGAGCACGGTTTGAAAAAGGAAGCACAAGCCACTTTAGGCTCAAGCGATGACACCGCTTCCTTCTTGGGTGTAGGAGTCTTTATGGAGTTCACCTAACCACAAGGTTCTGAGAGATGATCTCTAAGCTTCTGCAACCGATCCTAATGGTGAGGGGAATCTCTCGAAAGTCTGGAGCTACCCATCCAGGGGTGCATTTCCCATTAGCCACTTGCATAGCTGGACTCATTCACTTGCATGGTTAAAAACTATGCAAGTTGCTAACGTACTTAGCAACTAAGCTTTTGGGAAACGCACCCCAGTCCGTTTTCCTTGCCGAGCTAAATACCGACCCCTCAGATGCCAAACCCCCCTGGCAGTCTGGACCTAAGGCAAGCCCAAGTCTGGAGCAGCACTAACCCATTTTTCAGCGCTCAGCTTCACTCTGGTGAATTGCCCACATGCAAGGGTATCGAAACAAATTAAACGGATGCCCTACTTCCATTCACTTTCTGTCCTAGAAGCCTGCAGAAGCATCTCAATCAATCTCTTATCAGTCACGTAGTGTAGCAGATAGGGCGATATTGCGGCCATCTACATGAACGTCGTCATCGCCTTTGTTAGAGGACATTTCAGAAAAAACGCACCGTGCAACTTTTCCCCTAATAACACAGTAACTTAAAATGATATCATCCTAAGCTCGTGAAGTGTAAGTAACAATTTAAGAAAGATAACTTTTTGACCTCGTGAAATCCTACCGCTTCATCATTAGTCATTTCACGGCTGGCAGCGCAGATATTGAGTCACGCTACCAGGTAGAAGCTAACAGGTCTGAAGGGGGCTCCTATGTGACAACAAATGACAAAAAAAAAAGCAACTAGGGAGCGGAGTTTGCGAGGCTCGTCTCTGGCACGAACAGCAATTACTGGGTCTCCTCAAAACATAAAATGAAAACAGGGAAACAGAACTCGTAAAGTTCCAGGTTGCCTCCCTTCCTAGCAGGCAGAAACGGGGATATGCAAGTTTATCTTGGCTGATAGCTTCCACATTGGGATTACTTGACTGCCAACCACCGCAGCTGTGTGCTAGATCTTTCTGTTGTCCGTGCGAGGTGTGCCATGCGGAAAGAAGGCCAGGCGTAGGAAATGGGTGCTTGTGAACTGTAGAGCAACGCCAACCTTCATTCTGCAGTTCCCAGATCTCTTAAGCAAGAATGGGGGTGGGAAGTGGGGAGGGAGAGAAGGGGCGGAAATGGGCCACTCACGCTGTATCTCTTGAACAGCACGTCCAAATCCTCATTGTTCTTGCGGTAGGTGTCGTCGTTCAGGGGACTCTGGTCGACGGAGTCCTCGCCATCCGGCTCGGGACTGTCGCAGCCGTTGAAGCCTTTCTTCCGCAACGTCTGCCCGTGACACAGAAACAGGAAGAGGAGGATGGATTGAGCACACAGCTGGATGGCCACTGCGACCAGAGACGGGCACATCTGGCCTCAGTCTGGCATGCATAACATTTTTTTGGTTGTTTTTATAGATCCGTATGAAGTAATTCAATAAACGTAAGAATGATGTACCCATTCTAACTTCCGGACAGTGTTTACTATATCAGGCCCAGTTAAAACATTCCGTATGTCCAGGTTTCACACATCATTTATGAGCTTCCATTTCAAACAGCTTACCAAGCTAAAATGGGAAGCAAACGCAGTATTACCTCCCCACCCAATGACTTATAGCCTCTTCTGTAAACACAGGCAGCCGAAATGCGTTCGGCGCAGCAAAAGACGCATTTCCTGCAGGTTTCCTTCTCCTTTTTTTGCTGGTGGCAGAACTTAAGCCTCAATCTCAAGTTTGCAATATAGGTTAAATGTGAAAGCGGGCTCGGGAACTGGCCCATTTCTCCGCGCCCTTCAGAGGAACCACACTTAAGGACGCTTCTAGCAGCCCGCCCTTCCTTAAGCGGCAGACAGCTGTCTCCAGCAAGGCACAGGGCTTATTAATTCTTACGCTCCAGGTAGTACATTGGATATACTTCTTCCTACACAGACACCACCGTAACGTTTGCGGCACAGCAATGACGGACAGGTGAGCTAGCCAATAGCATCCCATTAAGCTTCACTCCCTAACGCATTCGATTCCGGGGTCGCTGCCACCGTTTCCCACGTTCTGTTACTCCATCCCCACCTCCCTGTACCGACAGCTCTGCTCAGCTCATTACATTCACCACTTCAACCCCTCTGACCTCTTGCTATACACCAGCTTCAGTGCACCTGCCCTCCACCTACGTTTGTGAAGAAGCCACGTTACATTCATACCTGTATGTGTATGTAAACATAAAAATACACACATATACATACACAAACCATCTGTCCATCATTTAGAAATGGCCCGATGACAAACTTCAGATCAACGCCATTTCAAGTATGGTATGGTGTTGTCATGGTAACTAACTATGCATCAGTTTTTTTTTTTTGTCCTGTGTCTGTGTCGGCGAAGGTTTGCGAACCAAACGAAACCGATCTAAGTGCTATGGTTCGTCTCTTTTCCCTTTTCATTAACCGCACCCCCCCTCCCATCTGTCCAATTATGCACGTGTCTCTCGTTTAGCCAGTCCTCAGATCTCCCCCCCAAATGCACACGCAGCCCTTTGTGTTGAACACCAGGAGGCAGTGAGGGAATACCTGCACGCCAGAGTCTATTACAGCCCCCCCAAGACCCGATTCTGCACCATTCTGCACAAAGCAATTGTGAGGTTCTCTCAGAATCATCCTGGATTGCAAAAGCAGTCACCCCAGCAACAGGCCCTATTGACATACACACAGAACCTATGAAACTGATCACAGGCCGCACAGTATCAATGGTGCAGGTGGACGGGGGGGGGGGCCTGGGCCAAACCCTGAACGGTGGTGGCTAGTGAGACGACCAGAGCGCAAGCAGGAAGGGACAAAAAAAAAAAAAGCGCTGCCCACTTCCTGCGAGAGCGACCATGCGGCTTCAGGCCGTGACGCAGCGTGAGGCCTGGTGCGGCGTTAAGAGTCACCACAGTCAAATGAGCAGCCTGGATGTCCGCTGCACCAGAACGAGCGCTATTCAAAATGACTGGCACTGCTCAGATGTTTGGTACCACGTGGTCCCAGTGTGGGTATGTGAGCTACCGCTGCTCGAGCTGGTGAAGCGGCGAGATCTTCATGCAGACAGACAGACAGACAGACATTACATTTTTGTGGAGACTGTCTATTCATTTCTATGGGCAAAACCCTAATCTAAAAAAATGACGACCTTAACCCCTACCCAGCCCTAACCTTAACCATAAGTAACCAAACAAAATACAAGTCTTTTGCAATTTTTAGTTTTATGATTGCAACCTCAACCCCACAACGTCAAAATATTTCATTTGGTCACCACAGTGTAATGTATATGTCTGTCAGTCAGTCAGACAGGACAGGACAGGACAGGACAGGACAGACAGAGCCGAAGGTAAGCTCACATCTCTACCGCCTTTACAGGAAGCTCCCTCATCTGTGGAGCTATGAGCTTCATGGTCCTGCAGCCCCAAGGCTTCCCTCACAGGTGTAACCATTTGCTGGTCAGGTACGTAAAGCTGGTGCACCTGCTCCTCTGTCCACCCCACCACCCTCACCCACCCAAACCCTGGTGCACACTTTCCAGCACCAGCCGTGTCGTCGGGGCAAAATTCCCCCACAGAGCTCCCATCAGCCTGTGACTGGCTGGTCCGCTCCCCACCCCAGCCCACCCCCTCTGCCCAGCTGAGCCAATCTCTAGCACCCTCTTCATCCTGGCCCGCCCCCTCTGCCCGGCTGAGCCAATCGCTAGCGGTCTCCCAGTCCCAATCCACCCCCACCGCCCGGCTGAGCCAATCGCCAGCGGCCTCCACGCCTGAGTCAGTCCCCCTCTCTGGCTCGCTGCGGTGCAGTTTGGCATGTGGCCCGGGCGAGCCCAGGGCGCTGTGAGAGCAAGGCCAGCTTGTCGCCCCGCGTCACATCCCACAGTGGGGGATAGGGGGCAGGGGGCGGGGCAATCCCAGGGCTTAGCGACATCCCCTGGGGCTTAGCCAGAGAGCCTGTCCCCAAACCACTGGGCAGACTGTCGGCTTCTGGTACGATGGTCGCTGGACTGCTGCGCACCTATAAACAGCAAACGAAACCCATACCGGCAGCCTGCGGTCGTGGCTCCGACCCTCCTCCTCCAGGCCCAGTAACCACATCCTCGTCCATACTTCAGAGCAGCATTCCACCTGCGTTGCACCCCCCACCCCCCCCCCCCCCTTCCCACAATCCCCTGTGAAGCTATGAGTCACACGGTCCACACATTCTGCCATATGGTCTTTCATCAGACTCAACCTACATCTGCTGAAGACAGCAAAGGCAACAGGATCTAATTGTGAGCCAGGTAAGCATTATGGAGATCCGCTGATGTAACCCTCGGCAAGCGCAGCGGTCTGATTGCGTGGAGCGGAGCCGTCACCGAGCCTGCCAAGGGAGGCGAGCGCGTATCCAGGCAACCGCAGGTCACCGTGTGACCTGCGGAGGCGTGCCTGAGCGGCTCGCCTCCCAAGATGGATCACAAAGTGGGCATATGACAGGCCATAACATCCACCGAGCCTGTTTGACACTCCAAAGCGGGCTCAGCTCGAGGGAGTATTGCCGGGGCAACGGAGGGGAGCATCCCACGGGGGGGGGGGGGGGGCCGCACTTCACTGTAGCAACAACGGTCCAGGCCCTACCATAACAAGTGAAGCTGCTTCTTTACGCAGGGTGAGTGGGAAAGCATTTTATTCCAGGAACTGGTAGCAGAATTCACTTAAAATGTTTACATCCCTCCACCCCCTGGAAATGTTCCTCACAGCACCGATCCTGTGTGCGACTCGTAATAACACTTCATATCCTTATAATGCTTCTTTAACAGTGCAGCCTAATACCTATTAGCTACTTAAAAAAGCTGAGATATTTCACGGACTCGTTCTCTCCTTTCATCTCCCCATCACCCCCGCTCCTACACCCCCCGCCCTCACATCCCTCCGTCTCATCCCGCTCTCCCTCTGTTTCCCGTTCGGGATCCGTAGTCAAGCGGATTAACACGCTTTGGCAAGAGGAACAGGGCTGCCTGCACACACAGAGCGTGTGGGAGAAAGGGGGAGAGAGAGAGAGAGAAAGAGGGAGGGAGAGAGGAAGGGAGGGAGGAAGAGAAGTACAGTAGCAGTAAGCTCGTGTGTAGGCATCACTTTGAATCATCTGCTTGCCTGCGCATACGTGCCGAAGTCTGCGTTGCCGCCTGCATCCACATGTGTTCGGAGATACCGGGCATAACGCCGACCCGGAAGAACCGGCCGGCTGAAGGGAGCGGTCGCCACACGCCCCGCTGAGCACGACCGCGCCCTCGCTCTGCGGGCCGCCAGCGCTGCAGCCCTCACACGTGACTCGCCATGACGGGACAGAGCGGCCTTCACATGGGGAGACGAGCGGCCGTCTGATTTGCATAAAAGTGATGCTACCAGAGAATCAGCCAGCATGTATTTAACTGCGATGTGTTACGCGATACGGCATTAGGTGACGATCTTACGTGTGTAAACGGCCGCCTAAGCAACACAAAGCTGATCCTCCCCCAAGCCTCCGGTAAAGCCTGTATTACATAGATATATACAGGAAACTACAGAATATTTGACTGTGGCAGATCAGTGTACAAATCGCACAAAACTTCAACGCAGCCTAAATCCATTTCAGATACTGGTCTCCCCAGTATGACTGTGCGAGAGAAGCAAGCCTCTGGCACCCACGTCCGCAGTCTTGGAGGGAAGGAGCCGAACACGGGCCCGTTATACACTTCGGTCATCAGTGACGGTTTCGCAGGTGCCGTTTCTGTTTCTGTTCCAGCATCACCCCCAAAAGGTGACACTGCACCATAAAAAGGCCGGACCTGTATGAGGGAAAAAAGCCGCAGCCAAGGCACCAACCTAGAGGACCTGTCCACCGAACCACATGTAGGACCCGAGACGGCTATTTGGAAATTCCCCTCGCTGATCTGCCTCCCCACGCAGTGACCTGTGGCGACAGCTGGCAGCCCAGTACAAAAAGATCAGTGTGGGGTTATAACCTTGAGGTCCAGGATCACAGCTATACCCCAGAGGACCACAGTTACACCCCTGAGGTCCAGGATCTCAATAGGCCGCCCCAGGATCAGCATCGAAGTCAGTGCTCCCGTACCTCGATGATGTCGGCGTTGGTGCGGCTCTCGTG